TCACCAGATGCTAGCCCCTTATCACACAGTCTTGAGCCAACAGAAAGAAAAGAAAAGAAAATGACGTTTGAGTCCTTCCCAACTGCCTAGGCTACACCGATCTAAGTTGAGCGAGCAAAAAGCCCTGGTATATTACGACACAAGTTTACACAATGCTTAACCCTCCTGATGCCCATGAATGTTACTTCCACATTTTACCCTTGGGATCAATTTGACCCCAAGGGATATTTGGCTCCAGAAAATGATGTACATGAATTTGTTGGCCTTGTTTTTGTGTCACGCACTTTGTTTATTTGTTGAATACAAAAATAGCCCCCTTGACAATAAAATCTATCAACAAGTTGACCTGTCTTCTTGCGCCACCATCAGGTCAAGTGTTTGAATTAGAATGAATGTATCTGATAAAGTTTTCATCCAAATCTTCTGAAATGTTCTGACAACATTAATAGCCAAAAGAGGATGAAACCTATTAGCTTTGGTGGTGAAATGATCATTCCTGTAGCGCTACCATCAGGTTAAAAATTCCGTTTTGGAGGTAGGTTCTTGAAAATCATTCTTGACTCAGTATGATTCATATTGATTAATGTTGGCAACCTCCTCTCCCCACCTCACACTTTCCCTTCATGGACATGTTTTTTTTTTACCTATTTTTATCTCCTTTTTTGGTCACATATGTGTCTCACTCATAAACTGTCACTCACCCTTCCTCTTTTGTTATCCGGGTTTGCGACCGGCAGTGTTAATTATGCTATTGTGGAGGTCCAATGGCCATTTGAACAACAATAGACAGCAAAGAGCACCACCATTGACATTGATCACTCACCATCGCCTAAAAGCATTTTTCTTCATCGATATAAAACAATTACAATGGCCTTCACCACTGTAATCTAGTATTATTTAAAGTGTTTGAATCAAACTCAATTTTCTCATTTTCCGGGATTACATTTGAGTATGTTCACGTGTAACAAAAACATTCCGATAAAAAACATTACCTCTTATCGATCATGTCTGAGTTTTTATGACATAGCTGCATAAAACCTTTTAGTCAAGACGGCCGCTATCGAAAGAGTTCAGAAGATGGATGATAAACAGTGGATACTGTAAGTACACAAGAAGACTGTCTGACTGGCAACAGATGGCGCAATGTGGCCAACATATCGACTCACAGAAAAACATTGACGGTCTGCCTAGAAACACACGGAGCTGGCACGGCATTACACTTTGGATTATTGCAACGGGTGTGAGTGAAATGCCTGATGAGGGGCAACTTGCCACCTTCCAAAACACCAGAGAGTCATTCCCAGTTGAAGCCCTTCTGAACTTTAAAGGAGCCCATTACATTGTCAGATTGCCACGAAAAGCGCTCAATAGGTGTTTAATGGATTGACCACAATCTAATTTTTTTACAATACAGCAGAGTCCCCCACCCGCCTTGAAGCCCGGCCCGACTGTTGGAGTCTTGAACAAACAGAAATACTTTGGAATCCAGCACCTCCATTGTGTATGCCAGCTTTAAAGCGCAAATACTGCACGGAGGTGGGCCAAAATGATTCCATCCATGCGAGGCGTTTTGTGAGCAAACACCATTTCATGCCTGGGGAAAGCATGGCGTTGACTCTCAAATTATGCCAATTAGGCTAATGTTGTTTACTGCACAGTCTGCGGCGCTGAATGGCTCAAAGGAATGCTCAACACTGAAGAGAACACAGTGACAAGGAAGCAGAGCAAGAGAATGAGACGCGGCAGGAAAGACACCACACAAGCAGAGGTCAAGGTAATTTATGACAACCCTTAGGGCATCATTTAGATGACGCTTATAGTAAAATTCTTTGTTTCCCCCCTTTTATTTACTGCAGTGAAAAAAAAGAAAAAAACCTGCAATTATTAAGAGCATATGAAAGAACAACCAAAACGGTAGGGTGCCTAGTACTATTCCTTGGAGATGGTTGGGGCACTCAGCGGGGTTGGGCGTGGTCTTGCCCTGCCTGGTGCTCCCTGGCCTGCACATACCTCTTGAAAAGTTGAGGCTGAGTCCGCCCATCGTCATTGTACCTGTACAACAACTCTGGAATGGCTAACGTGTAACCACTTACAGCAGACACGGGTTTCACCGCCCGGTCACTACCTCTACTCTCTTGTCCTGTTCTTTCCCAGCCTGTCCAATTTGATCATTGAACTAGGAATGGAACAGAAAAGTTGTCCAATCCTGGATGCTCAGTGCAATTCTGACAAAGTTGTCATCGTGGGTGCCTTTTTATTTTTGTCTGAATGTTAATACTATTAAAACAGTGGAAAATTGCCAGCGCAGTAAAGACTTGCTGGCACCTGATGGTTGTTTTAATGAGTGACATTACATCAAAAGCACTTTCGTCTTGGGAGTTGAATTTCGTGCTAATGAAGCACATCGGGTCATTCCACCCACCACTCCCCTTCAACACATCACACGTGTTCGTGCCTTTCTGTTCAGTAATAGTCTGCAGGAGCTGCTCTAATTCCATCAACAGCCTTCCGTGATGATGATTAGTGCCAGTCAACTTGTGGCCTGAAGCTTGACCAGTTTGGCGACGTTACTCTGAAGTTCCTCGCTTGTTCACTAAACTAAGTGAAGAGCTGGCACAGTAGTGAGCCTGGTGTGACCGTGCGTATGGATTGCAGGTGAATATAGTTTATTAAGACTGCATGTTTGAATGTTGCTTCAAACATTAAGGATAAAGTTCTAATGGTGTAATAATGAACATGTTATTTGGGTGAAATGGTGGATGTCGCAAGAACAACAACTCTGTTCTGGGTGGCATCGAGTGTGGACTTTATCCAGAAACTGGGTCAGGTTGGGCGGGGATTATGAACAATTCCAAATACTTTCATGTTCAATTAACTCCAAGAGAGAAAAAAAAAACTGAAGAACTACGTTTCAATGAATTTGTAAAAAATACAAAAAAAAAAAAAAACATCGACACTGATACATTAGTGGATGTCAGTCAGATGTAGTTTTTTAACGACATGAATGTTGCTGAAGTGAAATGAAATTCCGGCAACAAAGGTGACGAGCTTTAACGGCACTCGCCTATCCATCCTAATGAGAGCTGACAATGAAAAAATTAAAATTCCACATAGTTCAGCAGATGCTTGAAATTGAATGCCCAATGAGGATGTGGCTACTCAGGCCTTTACGTGTCATGCAGGAGAAAAGGCTTCACTTCTCTTCTTCCCACAGGATGTTTTTGGGGAGATAAACCAAACACTTTCTGGGATGGCGAGAAATAAAAATATATTCATGAACACATGACCAAAGCCTCATTCATGATTCATTAGGATATGCTAAATAATCCCAGACTGAATTAATACAAACATGATTTACATCCTGTAAAGTTTCTTCTTTCGTCTTACACTGATCATGTTGCCAGAAACCCCCACTTGCCGCTAAACTAACATCCAAAATAACCGAAGCTCCTGTAGGCAGACGAGTAGGAGCATGCGGTGATGAATTGCGATTTTTGAATTACAAATGTCTGTTTGAGCTGAGAAATGCAAATTAGCTTTATATTATTTAAAGCGGCGCCAGGAAATCGCCACAAAATGACTCCGCCATTACACAGCAGGCGTCGTGCTGAGAGAGTTGCCTTCTTTTCATTCGAGCGGATCAGTGGAGTGAAGTCTTGATTCTTTGGTTTCTTTCTTCCGAAGATTATCCATTTTCTTTCAAGTGCCATCCCAGATTTGCCATATGAAAAGGATGTCATGTTGAGTGCAAAAAGCATCATTTACGGATTGGTATACTCGCATACGTGATTGATTTTGTATCATTTAATTCAAATGTCTAGCTTCTTGATCACCTCTATTTTTATTTTATTTTATTTTTATTTTTTCAGGGGGGGCAGGGATTCATTTATGAAAGCAAGAGGAAATGGCACCACCCCAAAAATGTCTCAGCCTATGTCACATTTGTTTTATTATCTTTAACTTCTAATTTTATGAGATGGGCACAAAGGCTCAAGCGCAGATAATCATAATAACACAAATCAAAGGCTCGAGTTGTAGAGTAGAAAGAAATGTGAATGATTTCACGGGAAACAATGCATTGATGCAAAACCAGATGCATACATTATTATTTGGTATTTTTTGTTCAATTATTTGTATAGCTGGTTGAATATCAAACACAATGAATCTGTTCGATAGCTCTCACCGCTTCTTCGGGGGGGCAGTAATTTGCAGCCCATCCCGGCCGACTGTGCGCCCTGAATTCGTCACCGGTCAATGGCGGTGCAGTTAAATTACATTTTCAGTCAGGACAATGCTGTTTGCGTGAAATTTCCAGCCACCACCTCTTTCATTTCACTATGAGATGAGAAAATCAAGAGCGGGAGAAACAAGTGTGGGTGTTCATGTGTGCAAGCAAGTATCTGTGGTGTTTGTGTGTGCGCGCGTCTGAGCGTGAGTGCATCTTGTTCATGGCAAGAAATCAGCTCAGTTTAGCACATAATGGAAATGTGAATAGCCCGAAGCCACTCTCCCACACAGGGAGAGCGCTGGCTGGGAGCAGGATGCATCTTTCCAAATCCAAATAGTGAAAGGGAGTTTGCTAGGTTAAAATCTGGGCTCCTTTCTCTCTCCTCCCCTGGAGCAATTCACAGCTTTGCCCATACATTACTCAAACAGGTCATCCAAACAGGTCTCACTAGCGGGGTGAAAGCATATTCACACACATATGCACACGCATGCCGTGCACACAGCTAAGCACATATTCACACACACTCACTCGGTTGTAGGTTCAGTGAAGAGGTGACACTGCGCATATTATGACAGATGAAATCTATGGATCGCAAAGCTACAAAATGTTATGCTTAATTTAGTGTGAAATCTACCTTGTGAGATGAAACATCCAACACACCCTCAGTGTGCATGACGATGATATACTGTTTTCACTTTTGTCATGCAGTGTCGGCCAGGTCATCACCAGTACGGATGATGTCCGGAAGGGTATGAGGAAATCTTAGACTTACGTGCTACTTCTAGAGATGCGTTTCGGCTCACGGCCTCCCCCAGATAGTTACGGGCCACGCACACGTAGCTGCCATCGTCTGGCTTGCTTCTCCGTCCGTGGACGATGCGTAGGAAGAAGAGGGAGCCCCTGGGCAGTAGCATGCGGTGCGAGCGAGGATTGTCGCGGTCCGTCTCAACGCGCTCCCCGTCCTTGTACCATTCCACCGTAGGGGCCGGGCGGCCCTCTGCCTTGCAGTTGAGAGTGGTTGGTTCCCCCTTAGACACAATCAGGTCAGAGGGGTGCTCAACAATGCGAGGAGGGGAGTCTTCCTGGCGAAGACGAGACCCTTGAGGGTAAGAAGGAAGCACAGCATTCCATTGTAAGTCATCCTAATATCATCATAACAGAAACAATGAGATCGCATAAAAACTGTGTCATCAATGGCTTGTCTATTTGATGTAGTGACATTTTCTTAAACACATGGTGGTGAGGTGGAGCCTTTTCAAATTTATTCCCAAACTAATTGACTGTATATTCATACGATCATATATATAAATATATATGTACATGTGTTTGCAGATGGAAGAAATGTTCATTTGGGTACTGTCCTTGAGAGCCAAATTAATTAGCATCAGGGTCTTTTTCCTCACACGCAGGCTTTAATGTTTGCCTTCACATGCAGAACTGAGAAGTCATTACATCTCATTAACTTTTGAATTAACAAGTTCTATCAAACACTGACATCATCAAAGATGTCACCGCGAGCGTGCAGCAGAGAACGGTACATCAGATGGTTCGCTTTGTACTGTAATAATAGAGATGTATGCCTTCATCTACTTTTTTTTTTTTTTTTTTGAGGGCAAAGTTGCAACAGTCATTCTGGAATTTCGGAATGTTTAAGTGTGCGCGGTTCTTAAATTCTCTCCTCTGAATGAGTTACGACGAACAGGTTGAAGCATTCAGTTTGAATGTGAAGGGGGCATCGCAAACTTCTTAGTATTCATGGTGTAACAGGAAATTCGGTTCTGTTCTATCCGTTAAAACTTTTGCTTGGCACACAGCTAAAAGGGAGGGACAGTGCCTTGCTTAAGTGCTCCCCGGCAATAGCCAGCAAGCAGACTGGCATCAGCTACTTTACATTTTTGTTCATAGCAGGACTTTGAACACACAACAGATGAGCTACTGTGATCCAACTTTCTGCTGTGAACATCAAATCAAAACAAAATTATGCTGTTCTGATTCAAATGATCCTTTTGGAAAGAAACACAAATACATAACTAGTTCTTGCTGAATCACCGTGAAAGCTGATATAGCTCATGGTTGCCGGGCAACAAAGGCAACTAAGCAAATACTAGCAAGCTATCATTCAGTTTGGGTTTTTGAGTGATACGCTGTGATGAGTTATTTATTTTTAAGATTGGCACATTGTTATGAAGGTATTACAGTCTTCCCATCAAGCTGTCCTGTGGTGAGACTGTCTGGGTTTTTTCAGAAGTTGACTCTTGTGCATACACTGGTATATTCAATTGTGTTTGGCAGAATAATTTGCCTCTTGTTGGCGATAACCGCGTTTACATCCACCAAATGTAAATGTACTGTCGTCATGTGTGACGTCACACAAACTCCCTCTGACTTTGTCTCCAAACCTTCTAGTCCATACTGTCCCTCTGATCAGCTCATTCCTGATCTTGTCCATGCTCGTAACCTTTTTAAATGTTTTTTTTTTTTTTTTAATCTGAATAAATTCAAGGACGAGCATCTTCCTGGGACAGATTGTGTTCAAACTTGGCAGTTCCACTGTGCACCGAACGTTGGTTAATTGTGTCTTTGTATGGATGTGACCTTTTTTTTTCCATTCATTGAGAGATGAGATCAGTACATGTAATCTCAGCAAGCCTCTTGGCCTTTCTTTGCATGCCCTTGCACATCTGTAATGTGATATAATTCCTTTTAGGAGATGAATGTTTGTCTCGGAAATACAATCTAATGTTCGTTTCTGCCATGGTAGTTAGTGTGAAGGTAAACTGAAGGTTCATGTTATTACTGAACATTTATTTTTGACATCAACAGGCTCTTTTTCAGTCGGTTGGTGCATTTATCCTGTTTGTATGTTAGAAATACGGCTAGGCTCCAGAAGAAGGCAATTTCCGTCCTTCAAGTTACAATCTCCACAAATGCACCTCAAAGGGCTCATTATTGGAATTCAACTTAACCGTCTGTAGCTTTTCCAGGGCTGAAAAAGGCTCATTACATTTCCAATTGATAAAGCCACGAGAACAAACTCATGGAGAGCACGCGAGTCACAACACACCAATAACTTGCAGCAGTAGAACGTTTTACAAATTTGGCCATAGAAAGTGCTTCTAAAGGGAACCTCCTCAGATCTTATGAGGCTGTTGTGGGATCTATCCATGGTGCTGAATTACTGGGTGGCAGTCTTTCAGGAAAATCAAAACTAATGTTGTGGATACTTTCTGTTGGAGGTGGAGTCAGCTCACCCCAGCTGTACACTTTCCAGCAATCAATTTCAGGTTGTAATGAAAATGTTCTTATCTTATTGCCATGACTTTATGATGTACATCTTCACATTTGTCATCTGCATGTCATCTCAGTGGTCAACATATCACTTATAGAACCCATGAAGAAGACCCTTTATAATATGGTAAAAAGTCACGAGCTCACTGAAATTGAAAGAGTCCACATTGAAGCACTTCATGAAAATTGAGTTTCTCTTCTCGCTATAAGAACAATATTAATCGTTGATGCAACATCATGAGCACATCTATTGGGCATGATTTGAAAAATATCAATGCAAAAGTACCCTCAGTGTCATTCACAATGCACCAGGTTATCTGTATGAGTCCAAAACAGACACAATTAGTCAAAAAAAACTCCATCATATGATAATTAACGATACTCTTGGTTGAGTGCACATATAAACAGTTTGCAAAACTGTCCACCCACAAACATTTTTTTTTTGTGCCATCACGCGACCACAAGTCATACTGGTATGCGGTGAGCACAAAATCCCCAACCTGTAGACGGTATCAATTCTTAAAAGTACATTTTTCATACCGGGCATCTTCTCCACAGCACATTAGCCTTTATTACTGCAGGACATAAACTCTATCATCTGCCTCTGCAAATGAATTGTCGCGTCTCATGATACAGTAATGACCCATGGTAAGAATATATTGGGGAAAGCTGTGCATAATCTGAATCCTTACCTGATGTGTATCACTTTATAATGGCAAGAAGGTAGTTAAATTGTTCCAAGAAGTCAGCCCTCAAGTTTTACCAGAACACATTGCAAACCATGATGCTAATAATAATGCATACAATAGCTGATCCGACACATAAGTATATGTGCAAGTGATTGAATTTGGTACGTTTGGGGAAAAACATGCCATACATATAAAGGACACATAATAGACTTTTTTTTTTTAAATTGAGATACATTTGAGACGAAAACAATTGTATAAATCATAAATATAATAATTTCCCGCTTACCATTGCTCTTTTTGGCGAACAGAAGTCCACAGAGAAGCAAATATTGTACAGGACACATTCTGGCATATTGACCCCTTCAGCTAGCGACACATGAATTCCTTCTTCTCAAGCAGAAAAACAAAAATGCGATCAATTCATCAATCAATCCCCGTCTTCACCTTAGTGACTTTGAAATGTCTACAGTTTGAAGTTAGCCATCAAGGCACTCGTTCCAGCGAAGGAAAGGAAAGCCAGCAGCGATCTCGTTCACATTCATCCTTTCCAATAAAAAAAAAAAAAAAAAAAGAAGCGCACCAGTAAGCGGCGGTCTGCCGACACGTTTGTGTTCTTTCTGCAGTCACCAATTGCAAACAACACCAGCGACGCCCCGCACGGTCCACTTAAACGGGGATCCGAGCGGCTCCGACCACATTTCTTCTCAACCACCGGTACTTTTTTTTTTTTTTAAGCAGGTTTCAAGGCGGGGTTCGCGCACCTTTCGCCACGCGGGACAAGTTGCGGGATGAGAGGCGCTAAAGGGGTTGTGGAGGAGGTGAGATTCAGAAGCGGCACAGCGGCAGCGGCTCCCACAGCCCCTCCTTCTCCTTCTCCACTGATGCCCTGGGAGAGGAGGGGGAAAAAAACGGGGAATGGAACCAACTGAGTAACAAACATAATATCCACGTTTGAATTCATCACTAAGTGCGTTTACTGCTTCCCTCCCCCCTGGTGTTCATATAGAACATATTTATATTTTTAACATGCTGGCTTCTGGAAAGTATTTAGTGCATCACAGTACATCATAGCAATCCCAAGATACCATGCGAATATGCCCCCTAGTGGATATGAGCAATATGAGAGTGAATGTTTTTGTCTTTTTTTTTTTTTTTTGCAGCATTCCATATACGTACACACTGGTCGCCATGAAGGAAAAAGAACATCAAAACAACACAAAAATAATGTGCATATAATAACTAATAAAATTGATGTAAACGTATGGTGTAAACGTATGGCTGTGTGTGTGTGTGACCCACCACTGATTTTGAGTGAAAAAAATGCTCACCTGAATATGTTTCTTTTTAATTTTTATTTATTTATATTTTAATCTGTGAAGTCCATCAATCCACTGCACCACTTATCCTCAATTGGGTCACAGGTGTGGTGGACGGAGCCCTGATATTGCTCGAGAGCCGGGGTCAACCCTGAACTAGTCACCAGCCAACCGAAGGCTACATCCATGAAGTAATTTAGTGATATTTAACTTGATACTGTATTTTAGTATCTGCTACAAACAATCTGTTAAGGTGCATCGACAGTACGCAATTTTACAAAAGGATTTTTAACATTGATTTCAATGCGTATAATCCTTGATTCGTCTTACACTCCATGGGGTAAGCTTGCATAACTTGATATTATATACGCTACATTATCTGCTGTGATGAATTCATCGGAATTATAAACCACATATTTATATTTGGCATCGGCCGGGCTGATAGCTTTTCTCAGTAACCCAACACTAATTTGAAAAAGATAATCACATCACGCAGTTGGTTAAGCGAAATAAGTGATATGAAATAAATCTTTTACTTTGGCTTCACACACTGATGATTTCATATATTGCTAGAAAAAGCCATTAAAAGTATATAGCAAAGGAAATGGCAGTTCAGTCCTTCCTACTACCTGACATGCTGGTTGTCAATATCTCTCAACGTCGTCAATGGGGGATATAAAGCCAGCTTTACCCTAAAACCACAAAGAATGTCTGTATGAGCTGCTATTGATCCAGAAGCTGACATTAAACCATTTTCTGGCACGGTATTCATCGGAGTGGATCGAATAATAATTACAGACAATGGCTAAATTGAGTCAGCATGTCGCTAGCGTTGGAAAATGAACACAAGCTTCTCAATTGGAGCGGTCTCACTCATCGAGGAATGATGTGCTCAAAGACATTTCCCCCATTTTCATTGCTCTTCTGTAGACAGCTCACATTGTGACGTGGTGGAAGCCTCTTTTCACTCAATAGCTTTTGAGCAGAATGATACACGCCTTTGCTAGCTCTCAAGGGCGAGGTGCAGCTAAGTGGCATGTTCTGCATGAAACCAAAATAATGCCATTGCATGCAAATAGCTTCTATCCGACCTTAAGCCAAAACCCCTCTTTTTTTCCCAGCGGTTCAAGGAAGGATGATGATGAATTGGCCTCAAAAGAAATGAAAGGACTCACAAAATCAATCAAAATGAACCTTAATATATGAAGAGGAAATTTGAAGAGCCTTGCTTTGTGTTAATTGTGCCATGTACCTAATTTGCCGCAACATTACGACATGTTATAAGCATTTGTTGTCATCACTAGCTCAGTCTTTCACTTCCATACATCTTTCGCCATCATTAGGAGCAGGCTAATAGAAGGAAATTGTAAAGGAGCTAAAATTTCAAATTATATTGTTATCGTATTGTTGAAAACTTGCTTCCGAAACACAAATGTTGTTTAATGTTTACATTATCCATTCCACAGCACACCACAAGACTCAAAATCTGATTTATGCGATACGTTAAATAAATCTGCACTCTTATTATTCTTGTTCAGTGGCACACTAGGCTCGGATTACAATGTTGATTCTTTTTTTTTCTGCAATCCAATAGGATTTGTGTATTATATATGTATAATCCACATCATTGTTTGTTATTCCATTCGTCATACAGCGACTGCCCGGAAAAAAAGACACATTACTTGTTATGGAATATAATTTGCATATTTACATATGTTGGTTATATTTTAAAATGCACAGTATTAGAAACCTTTGAGAGGAAAACATCTGTCTTAATTTTCACGAAAAACATTGTGAATGGAAATTTTGTCACATGACATGAAACTATTTGATGCTGTGGATCAACAAACGATAACAGATTTGGTTCGGCAGCTGAAACTTAAGACAACTCGCTGTCTTAACTCAATACCGTCAAACCTTTTTTTCCAAACCGTTGGGCTAACCATCTGGGCTAACTAATCAGCTTCTACCTTCCGTCCGGTGAGTTTCCCCTGAAAGTAGCCGCCATGAAGCCACTTCTAAAAAAAGACAACACCGGATGCCTCTTATATAGTTAGAATCTCCATTGAAGCTTCTTAAATTGTCCTCAGGTGCGAATGTGAGTGCGAACGGTTGCTATGAGATTGGCTCGCGACCAGTCCCGCCTCTTGTCAGCACACGCGAGACCCTGCGGAGGAAAAGCAGCACAGATGAATGGATGGATGTTGTATTCTCTTAAATTATGGATCTCAACACAGTATGTGATCTCGCCGGACAGAAATTCAAATGTTGTCCTGTAATACTGACTAAAAAGAAGCTCTGTCCATTCCTTTTATATTTTAAATCTATGAATAAGAAAAACAATAAATGTATCTTTATTCATATATAATAAATAAGGCTTGACAGACTGCAATGTGGGACAACTTCATTTCAGCTACAAGACCCTCCGTTATGATTGACTAAAAACAAGCGTATTACATCTGGAACATGCACTCTCATCGGGTTTAATTTTGCATTAAAATGTATGAATCCAGATGAAAATTCCATGTTGGAATTAGGAATGCATGATGGCATTTAATTTCCAACATCAGGTTGAAAAAAAAAAGGTGTATGTCTATTGAGTGATGTGATTTGATTTGCATCAAGATAAGACTCCCTCATCTTTCATTACCCGTGGACAGGTTTCCAGGCAACGTGAGATGCTGCCACGCACACACAAACCCAAACCAAAAGGGCTCCTGACTTCTCTCATCAATCCACTGTAGCTCTCTTACACTCTCTCTCCCAGGCGTTGATCACACATAAGAGACAATGTCAAGGTCAGGAGTTGTGTCTGCACCATTACCTACTTAGAACTGTGTTTGTTCAAGCTAGGAGTGGTTGAGGAGACAGATGGTGTATATGTGACAGCGTGAAGAGCATCAAGCAAACAGTACTTTGCTCAGCGTATAGACGGAGACAAAGGGACCACACGGCCACACCGACGTGTACCTGGAAGTCCCATGCTGTGGAATGCGTTCCAATATATCCGTAAAGTATTCACGGCACCCTACATGCGTTGAATTCCGAACCGGAAACGATTCATTTTTCTTCTAAATACCACAGCAGGCGCCATGCATTTTCATGAGACATGATTCTTTTGATTTATTTTGATATATTTATTAAAACATGTTAGAAATAGCACACCTACAGTACCTTTTGGGCCATTCCGCCCATTCCTCTTTGCTGTACCTTTCAAGCTCCATCTGGTTGGTTTGGGAGTATTGGTAAAGAACCCTTTTCAGATCTCTCCAGAGGTGTTCAACTGGTTTGAAGTCTGGAGTCTGGCCGGGTTACTCAAAGACATTCACAGAGTTGTCCCAAAGCCACTCCTCTGATATCTTTGGCTTTTCTTTCCGATCTAAAACGGATTAAAATTCAAGCTGGTACACTTTTTGGGTGGCGAATCTAAAAAAAGAAAAAGAAAAAAAAATATTTTACCTATTCACAATACCGTATTTTTCGGATTATACATCGCTCCGGATTATGAATCGCACCAGCCAAAAATGCATAATTAAGAAGTAAAAAACATATATAAGTCGCACTGGAGTATAAGTCGCATTTTTGGGGGAAATTTATTTGATAAAATCCAACACCAAAAACATACATCTTGAAAGGCAATTTAAAATAAAAATAAAACTAGAGAACAACAGGCTGAATGAATGTACGATATGCTAACGTTACATGACGCTTAAACAATGAACTGTGAATGTGCCTGATATGTTCACGTAACATATTAAGAGTTATTTAGACAACTATAGCACAAAGAAAATGCTAACAAATTTACCAAACCATCGGCGTCACTCCAAATCACGAAATCCAATGAAATCTTCATGCTCTGTGTCACTTTTAAACAACTCCGCCAACTCCGGAGGTTGAAGATGCAGCGCTTCCTCTTCTACGCCACTTACGTCAAGAGTCATTGTCAGTTGTTTTTATCAGTTACCGCCAACGGGGAAAGTATCAACACAGGGCGAGAGCAGCCTCTTGCGGTTTAATGTGAAAATAACATTTGATGTGTACAATGTGTTTTTAGCCATTTCACACATAAGTCGCTCCAGAGTATAAGTCGCACCCCCGGCCAAACTATGAAAAAAACTGCGACTTATACTCCGGAAAATACGGTAGTTCATAATTGTATTCAGAAAAAAAAAAAAAAAAAAGACAAGCCTATGCCTTTTGCCTGATGGTGCTAACAAATGCATTTTGGGTAAGACGCAGGGCAAAAATGGCAACAAACATTACGGTTGAACAGGCTCGGGAACACAAGTTATAGTTCAGCAGCAGCAATACTGAACTTGTCTTGTTCACAAACAAGCAGGAGCCCAATTTGGGCGCTACATGGATGAGCGGACAACGACATGAACTTTCCACTGATGCAAAACTTTTCGACTTGTTTTATACTTGACAGCAAGTTGACATGGGAAAGACATATCACACGGATTGCCTGCCAGGCGACTGCGGTGCTCACACATTAATACCAATATGGTAAACTGAGGAAGTAAAGATGTAAATTGACACGCCATCACCATTATTTCAGTATAGCGCAATATAAATCAGGGTGTATTGTATTGTACATTGGCCATTCTACCATTGTCAATAGATATGTTTATTTCAGCCCCCCCCCACTGCCCGCCAACTGAACTTGTTTTTTTTTAATGCAAATTTAGAATATATGCAAGACTTTTTTTTTTTTTTTTGCCGATTGATGCAAAACAATGTACAAAAATAAAAACGACAGAAGATGTTAGTGTCTCCGGCAGCTTCTCAACACTTCAGTGCTTTTGTTTTGGGTGTCAAACAGACACGCAAGAAGCTGAAACATAAATATAAAATAAATGGCACTCTCAAGACTGCAAAGAAACAAAGGAATTTATCCAACACATTTGC